GCTGGCTCCTTGCTCCCACGAACTCCCTGCGTTCATTTGGCCACGTGTGCCTGTCCAAGCGTGCAGTAGGCGGCCTCACCAACCCAACACACTCACCTTGTGTGCAGTGATGGCCTCACCAAGACAACCAGATCTCAGTGTTCCAGCCTCACCAACCCAACACACTCACCTTGTGTGCAGTGTTAACCTCACCAACACAACCAGATCTCTGTGTGCGGCCTCACCAACACAACACACTCACCTTGTGTGCAGTGTTAACCTCACCAACACAACCCGATCTCTATGTACCGGCCTCACCAACACAACCCGATCTCAGTGTGGGGCCTCACCAACACAACACACTCACCTTGTGTGCAGTGTCAGCCGCACCAACACAACCCGATCTCAGTGTTCCGGCCTCACCAACCCAACACACTCACCTTGTGTGCAGTGTTAACCTCACCAACACAACCCGATCTTAGTGTTCCGGCCTCACCAACACAACCCGATCTCTGTGTTACGGCCTCACCAACACAACCAGATCTCAGTGTTGCGGCCTCACCAACCCAACACACTCACCTTGTGTGCAGTGTCAACCTCACCAACACAACCAGATCTCAGTGTTTCGGCCTTACCAACACAACACACTCACCTTGTGTGCAGTTCCAGCCGCACCAACACAACCAGATCTCAGTGTCCCGGCCTCACCAACACAACCAGATCTCAGTGTTCCAGCCTCACCAACCCAACACACTCACCTTGTGTGCAGTGTCAGCCGCACCAACACAACCCGATGTCAGTGTTCCGGCCTCACCAACACAACCAAATCTCAGTGTTCCGGCCTCACCAACACAACCCGATCTCAGTGTGGGGCCTTACCAACACAACACACTCACCTTGTGTGCAGTGTCAGCCGCACCAACACAACCAGATCTCAGTTGTCCGGCCTCACCAACCCAACACACTCACCTTGTGTGCAGTGTCAACTTCACCAACACAACCAGATCTCAGTGTGCGGCCTCACCAACACAACACACGCACCATGTGTGCAGTTTCAGCCGCACTAACACAATCAGATCTCAGTGTTCCGGCCTCACCAACACAACACACTCACCTTATGTGCAGTGTTAGCCTCACCAACACAACCAGATCTCAGTGTTCCGGCCTCACCAACACAACCCGATCTCAGTGTACCGGCCTCACCAACCCAACACACTCACCATGTGTGCAGTGTTAGCCTCACCAACACAACCAGATCTCTGTTTCCGGCCTCACCAACCCAACACACTCACCTTGTGTGCAGTGTCAGCCTCACTAACACAACCAGATCTAAGTGTTCCTGCATCATCAACACAACCAGATCTGTGTTCCTGCCTCATCAACACAACCAGATCTCAGTGTGTGGCCTCACCAACACAACCAGATCTCTGTGTTTCCGGCCTCACCAACCCAACACACTCACCATGTGTGCAGTGTTGGCCTCACCAACACAACCAGATCTCAGTGTGTGGCCTCACCAACCCAACACACTCACCTTGTGTACAGTGTTAGCCTCACCAACACAATCAGATCTCAGTGTTCCAGCCCCACCAACCCAACACACTCACCATGTGTGCAGTGTTGGCCTCACCAACGCAACCAGATCTCAGTGTTGGCCTCACCAACGCAACCAGATCTCAGTGTGCGGCCTCACCAATACAACCAGATCTCAGTGTTGGCCTCACCAACGCAACCAGATCTCAGTGTTGGCCTCACCAACACAACCAGATCTCAGTGTTGGCCTCACCAACGCAACCAGATCTCAGTGTGCGGCCTCACCAACACAACCAGATCTCAGTGTTGGCCTCACCAACCCAACCAGATCTCAGTGTTGGCCTCACCAACGCAACCAGATCTCAGTGTTGGCCTCACCAACGCAACCAGCTCTCAGTTGTTACGGCCTCACCAACCCAACACACTCACCTTGTGTGCAGTGTCAACCTCACCAACACATCCAGATCTCAGTGTTCCGGCCTCACCAACACAACCAGATCTCAGTGTGCGGCCTCACCAACACAACACACTCACCATGTGTGCAGTGTTAACCTCACCAACACAACCCGATCACCTTGTGTGCAGTGATCTGGCCTTAACAGGAACTCGCGCGTACAGGCCGTTTGTCATTCCACTGCTGGATGAGAGTCGCCCCTTGGGGTGCGTGATGTGTTGTGGGGGTTACGGTATTTGACTATACTTCACCGCGCTGGTCAGTGCGAGTTACAGAAGTGTGGGGTGGGGGGCGTTAGATGGTTGGGCAATTGAAGGTATCGATATGAAAGTGATGTCCTACTCACACGACCATTGAGGCATTTGTCCTCATCTCTCAGCCAAACGGCTGGAATTCCACATTCCTATGACGAGGAGAGTCGACAATAACAAACCAGTGAATCGACACGTGGCTTGGGGAGGCCTTCATCCAGCAGTGTATCTTTGCCATCGCAGAAATCGTTGAAGTGCACGTACGTCATCGTGAGTGCACGTGCGCGTGCACGTACGTCATCGTGAGTGCGCGTGCACGTACGTCATCGTGAGTGCACGCGCGTGCACGTACGTCATCGTGAGTGCGCGTGCACGTACGTCGTCGTGAGTGCGCGCGTGCGTGCACGTACGTCATCGTGAGTGCGCGTGCACGTACGTCATCGTGAGTGCACGTGCGCGTGCACGTACGTCGTCGTGAGTGCGCGCGTGCGTGCACGTACGTCATCGTGAGTGCGCGTGTGCGCGCGCGTGCACCTACGTCATCGTGAGTGCGCGTGCGCGCGCGCGTGAACGCTCTGAGCGGGTGCGTGCCTGCGCGCGCAGCAGTCAGCGCACTGCGCTATGAATCCGCCGAATCCGAGTTGGATCGCCGCTCTCACGGCCAATTACGGTGGCGAATGTTTGCACCGGTTTGGGGCCTCCCTCTGGGTGGACTCGGCCTCAAATGAGTACCTGGTGCGGTGCGTAAATATCAGCAAGGGGGAGACAAAGGCGGCCGGGCGTGGTGCTGGCCAACACCACCTCCTCGCGTGCCGTGCCGGTCGCCGTCGGTTCTCGCCAACAGCACTTGCCCTAACAGGCTATTTAGGCTGTATGGGGGATCTTTGTCTTTGGCATTGACCACTGACCTTCAGGCCATTGTAGTAAAGACCAGACAGGAGGCCTTGGGATGGATGGGGTCGGTCACGTCCCCAGATACGGATCCACGCTCGGCTATTGAAAGCGGTCAGCTGTTTTTTTTTTGTTTTAGTTGCTTTTTGTGCTTTAGTTTGCTGTCCTAACCACGCGCACCTCCGATCAGCGCGGTTGGCTACGCGGACACACGGCTGTCGCACTACGGGCAACAATAGGTGGAAACACACAAGCGAGCAAAACGATGCAGTTAATACTGCTCATAGCGATCATCATCTTCATCGTCGTGGTGCAGCACAAAAGAGTGGGCCACCCATGATTAATTTCTATTCACACTCGCACGGAATGCAAAGTGGGAACGGTACGGCGAAGTGCACTTCAAGTCTAATGGGTGCCATGCGGCGAATTGCCAGCATCTGCACTCACCCAATGAGAATCCAGCCGGTGCCCCGCACACAACAAGTGATGAAGTATGCCCCCCCCTTCCCCCCACCTGTGTGCTCACGTATGCCACGAAACAACAAGGCAAAAGGGGCCGTGGATTTTTCTCCGGGATCCTCCGGTTTTGCCCATCCCCCCCCCCCACTCCACATTAAGAAACAACACGCGCTTAAGATGATTTTGCTGCTACTATAAATTCCCACGAGTTGTAATGACGATGATGATGATAATGACGACGACGATGATACAAGCCACTTCGTTGGGCTATAGCGTGTGACGAGGTCGCCTCTGAAAAAAATCGCTCGACGGTGGAATTTAGCCGGTAAACAAAATAAAATTAGTTTTTTGTACGGGAGACCATTCAATCAACTGACCACGAAGCCCACCCGTCCATCGTATTCACAAGGCCATTTAACGTTGTGTGTGTAAAAACAAAAACGAGATCGAACACAGGTTTCCGTCAAGGTCAAACGGAACGATGGACTCGGTTCACGTTTTTCCCGATATTATTAACAGCGGGGCCAGGGATGTGGACGTGCCTGGGAGCGTCGTCATTTTCACGTCGCGATATTTCGCCACCCACATCAATCCCCCTCGCGCCGCCTTTTTAGTGGCATCGCCGCACGTTCAAGATGTGACCAGCGGCCCTCGTACCCACGGGTTTCAATCATCGCGGTGATATACGCACGCATCGACTATTTAATGCGTTGTAGATTGTTTTTCATTATTAGCCACAACGCTTCTCTACGGCGTGCGACGATGATGACGATCGTTCTCGGTAACGACAATTCAGCGTCACGTACGTGATGGGAAATGAACGCGATGCAGTCCCTGGTCACCGATTCGTTTGTTGAGGTTATAAACGACGGTTAGATTTGCCAATTACTTCGTTTTTCTTCACGCTTTTACCATCCTTCTTGGTATGATTGCGATCTCTAATTCGGCCCCGTCTCGTTTGTAGCGCCGTTTCACATTCGCAACGAACGAAATCCAAATCCCAACATTGACCTCGCTGCTGTGCCACATCAACGTGAAGTCACGCGGATTCCAGGATTACTACCTGTCAACAGCAAATATCCCTCTGGCCCCACCGTGGCATTGCCTATGTGCCCACCCACCCACCTGCGTGCCCACCCACCTGTGTGCCCACCCACCTGTGTGCCCACCCTCCCACCTGCGTGCCCACCCACCTGTGTGCCCACCCACCTGTGTGCCCACCCACCTGTGTGCCCACCCACCTGTGTGCCCACCCGCCCACCTGCATGCCCACCCACCTGCGTGCCCACCCACCTGTGTGCCCACCCGCTCACCTATGCGCCCACCTACGCGCCCGCCCACCCACCCGTCTGTGTGCCCACCCACCCATCGTTGCCACCTGCCAGTAAAGTTGTCTCACCCCGCGAACGCCTCCCCGGCACGACGTGCCACCGATGACCCTGGCCACGCCGAAATCGCGCGCTCAGCAACGGCTGCCAACCGAGAGTGTCCGAGCAGTGTGTCAGGTCAACGCACAGAGCACGGAGGTCGCATTGCTCCACAAAGGTGCCGTCTATCACGCGCACATTTCAAAGCACAATGCGATAGGCTATCATAATGTAATGCATTACAGGGCGAGCGTTCCTGGATAACAATCTGATACAGGTCAATAACATCTCTGGGCTGGGCTGGATGCCCCCCCCACCCACCTCCCTCCCCACCTCCTCCCCCCACCTTCACCTCCCCCCACCCCCCAGGCTTATGGCAGAGAATACAAAAGTTATATTCAATCCTTGTGTATGATGGCAGCAGACAAAAAGCCGCTGCTGCTGCTGCTGCTGCGAGGATAACCGGAGTGTCACGTGATGATTTATGATCCTCGACGAGATCCGCGAGGTACCGTGGTCACGTTCGTGTATAACGAGTGCGACCTTTAGTAACGACGTCGTCGTTCGTGCCACCTGAAGGCCAACGGCGCAGCGCGGGTAGCACTGGACGGGCACGGTTGGGCTCTTGCGGGAACCTTCCGCGACACGTGCCCAAGTAATGTCGTGCTCCCCGGCAGCTTGGTGAAACTTGCACCGAGAGAGCGGAAGGCGCGCGCGGCTGGTCAGGGCGCGTGTAGACTTCACGACGACTCGTGGACGATACGGACGATACGGACGACCGCGAACGACAGCGAACGTAGGACAGCGAGCCCAGGAGAATGGCCCCACCGTCTCGATGAGAGGGATGATGTCAGCTGATGTGCAGGGATTGGCGAGGGGGAGCTGCATCCAGCAGTGGATAATATCAAGGGTGATAAGTGGTGTGTAACGTGGTTGCCATTTCTTTAAGATGTTTCTTGTTCATGTTTTTGCTTGTTGCGGTTGCACCCGATTCAAGAGCCGAATGGCTCACAGGGCTACACCTAATAAATGAACTTGAACTAAACTGAACCCAGTGCAAGGAATGCCACTGTGGGTCCCCTGTTCAATTTGTGCCATCTTGGATTTCCATCCCCTGTCTACTCAATGGCTACCTACGTCACTGGGACTAATGGTGATGACGACGACGAAGGGCATTAACAGCCACGTCTTGCTTGCCTGCTTGTGTGTTTCCACCTATTTCCCCCAGTGCGGCAACTGACCATTTTCAACAGCCAAGCGTGGATCCGAATCGGAGGACGTGACCGACCCCATCCGTTCCAAGGCCTCCTCTCTGGCCTTTACTACAATGGCCTCAAGGTCAGTTGGTCAATGTCAAAGACAAGATCCCCCCCCCCCCCCCCCCCCCCCCAGTGTAGCCTTAGCACACTGCTCGGGCAAGTGCTGTTAGCGAGCACATACGAAGGCCGGCACGGCACACAAGGGGGTGTTTGGCCAGCACCACGCCCGGCCGGCCGCCTTTGCTGAAATTTGCACGCCGCATCAGGTACTCTTTTATGGCTGAGTCGACCTAGAGGAGGCCCAGAACCCGTTCAAACGTTCGCCACCGTTATTGGTCGTGAGCGGGACCTGAACTCGGATCATCGGATTCGTAAGCGCAGCGCGCTAACCGCTGCTCCACCACTCCCCCGCAGACGCACGCATTCACGGGAATGTTGCATTTCGCTCAGACTGAGTGAACGAATCTGACTGTACACACAAGACAAACACAAGAAGGCGACGTCAACGAAATGTCAAACACGAGAAAACAACTAAAAAGAGTTGACGATGTTTGAATTGAACCGAATCGCAACTCCGATTCGTGACAATTCGTCGAACGGCTGGCAGGCGTGAATTGCCTGCGACGTAGCCTCCCAACAGGATGAGCACGTGGCCAGGGGCCATGGCAGTGAGAAACCTGTGGAGATTACCTGTACTCGCAGCACAGGTGAGAATTTGTCGCACCTCTGATTCAGCACGGTTGGCTATGCACGGTGCGAAAGACGTTCAACATACGTACAACCCATCCAGACGACTGTGTAAATGCTCTTTGTCAAGGTATATCTGGCCCAAGACAAAGACGACTTCATATTTTACTAATCTCACCGATGGTCAGTTTCCTCCCTATCACTCTTCTCCCGCTACTTACCACGGTCACTGCTCCCGTGAACTTCACTCCATGATTCCTCCACCCACGTCGACGACTCGGTCGACCACTCACCAACACCAACACCACTACTACTATCACCGCCATTCGCCACTAAGTGACGGTGACGTGACCAGGGCGCCTGTGCCAGGCTAGGTGCACTTTGAGGCCACGTGAAGTGTCGAAGGCTCGCTGACAGGAGGAGGTCTCGGGACAGAGCCAACAGGTGCCATGGGTCGGCTGACTGAGATGCCCGGTAGATGCACCACCAGCTGTACCCCCCTACTGTGCCAGGCTAGGTACAGGAGGTCTCGGGACAGAGCCAGCAGGTGCCATGGGTCGGCTGACTGAGATGACCGGTAGATGCACCACCAGCTGTATTCCCCTACTGTGCCAGGCTAGGTGCAGGAGGTCTCGGGACAGAGCCAGCAGGTGCCATGGGTCGGCTGACTGAGATGACCGGTAGATGCACCACCAGCTGTACCCCCCTACTGTGCCAGGCTAGGTACAGGAGGTCTCGGGACAGAGCCAGCAGGTGCCATGGGTCGGCTGACTGAGATGACCGGTAGATGCACCACCAGCTGTACCACCCTATTGTGCCAGGCTAGGTGCAGGAGGTCTCGGGACAGAGCCAGCAGGTGCCATGGGTCAGCTGACTGAGATGACCGGTAGATGCACCACCAGCTGTACCACCCTATTGTGCCAGGCTAGGTGCAGGAGGTCTCGGGACAGAGCCAGCAGGTGCCATGGGTCGGCTGACTGAGATGACCGGTAGATGCACCCCCAGCTGTACCCTCCTACTGTGCCAAGCTAGGTGCAGGAGGTCTCGGGACAGACCCAACAGGTGCCATGGGTTGGCTGACTGAGATTACCGACAGATGCACCACCACCTGTACTCCCTACTGTGCCAGGCTAGGTGCAGGAGGTCTCGGGACAGACCCAACAGGTGCCATGGGTTGGCTGACTGAGATTACCGGCAGATGCACCACCAGCTGTACTCCCTACTGTGCCATACGCAGACACCCCCTCCTTCATCTCTCCCATGCACCCTGTTGAACCGACACACCGCAGCTCACCACACTTTGTCTTTCTGCTTCATTTTCCTCGCACTGCTCGCCGACACTTGGAATTGTCTCCCATCTCTTTCTCCCCCCCCCCCCCACCCGAGTTCTTATAATCTTGCTCTATTCAGAAAGGGCATTAATTGTTATCTGTTCCATCTTCTTTAGTGCTCTTTGTTGCTCTGCGATTTTTTTCTTTTTGCCTCTGCTCGCCAACGACCGGATTAACGATAATAAAACGAAAGAGTTCTGCGACATTATCTTCCATGGCTGTTCCCTGATATGCCGTGACGACCTGCCACGGGATTATCGTGGGAACGCGGCCACCCCGAGCCTCAACTGGATCGCAAAGAGATGCGGCCGATGACTCCAAACCTGTAGATTTGTACGATGGTGGGCTTGTAGGAGGCATCTTGGAGTGGGTTGGTTTCTGCCGACCCGAAAATATTCCATTTGAGTATTTTCCCCTGGTGTGCTTAGAGTGTACTCCATGCACTCTGGTTTCCTTCAAGGTAAAAAAAGAGATGTTAATTAGGGATTGGTCAAATATCCAAAATCAGGGTGCGCCTGCGAGAGTCTTGAGATTAAGTGAGGGGGAGGGGGAGGCAGGAAGGGTTTATGGGTAAAGAAAAAACATGGTTGTCAAATGATCGCAATCAATATTTTAACACAAGGGTCACTCAGCATGGTCTATTAAAGGATACTTGGCCAGATACTGTACACTCTGTAGGTACGCTCGCTCTTTTATGAGCTGCGGAGTAAAAAATACTTTATTTTAAAAACAAAAAATAATTTCTCACTGATTAGTTTTTCGGTAGAAAATAGCGCACTTTCACGGGGCACAATTGTGAAGAACGCTAATCGGGAAAATGGGTGATTCCATCAAAAGGTTAATTTCAAAGAGATTTTTTTCTGGTTCATGTATGCCGCATAGCAATGAAGTGATTTGGCAGTGGTGGGGGGGGCACTCGTTTTACAAACAGTTTCTGTACATCTTCTTGGTTCTTTCGGTAAAGTCACGTAGAATGGAAATAAAAAATAATAAAAATAAAACATAATAAAATAATTCTCACGACGTTGCGGCCACAACGCAAGCAGCCGTCCTCAGGTGAAGAACAGGTCTGTCGAGAAGACAGAGTCTGTCTTCTCACAGTTATTTACCTGCCGACGTAAGCCAGCCCACGAGTCTCTTAATCAGTGCAAAAGACAGGGCACGGTTACATCTTGACTTAAACGCTTTCGTGACTGCAGGAATTCATATTCTTTGGGTCTTTCGGTAAAGTCACGTAGATAGGTTCAAAGAAAATAACAAAAAACTACGACGTTTCGATCGCAACACAAGCGGTCGTCATCAGGAAAAAGGGTGGGGGGGGGTGTTGCGATAGAAACGTCGTAGTTTTTTGTTATTTTCCTTGAACCTATCTACGTTATTTTATTATGTTTTTATTTTATTTCATTATTTCCCTTCTACGTGACTTTACCGAAAGAACCAAGAAGATGAATCCCTGCAGTCACGAAAGCTTTAAATCGAAATCTATCTACGTGACTTCAACGAAAGACCCAAAAAACATGGAATGCCACGGTGTTGTCTCACACCTGCAAATCGCACGCCGCGATTACACCGGGAATGAGGGTGAAAAAAATATCATTCAGAGAGAGCGTTACCTGCTGCCCTGTCACCTGCGCTACCGCCCACCTCCTCCACGCCCCACCCCCCTCAAGACCTACGCAACAGGGGTGGCAACTCCATTGGAACCTGATTTGCCAGTAAAAAATTATGATAATTGTTTTTTTACCCTTCTATCTGGCAACAAAACTGACACCTATCCCAATGGTGTAAATGCTTACCCCGAGCTCTCATACTCTGATGGTACATTGTCTTTGAGTTGTGCGCCTTTTGGCGTCATCTGGTCCAACCCATGTGAGACTAGGCTCTAAGGAAAGCTGTCTCGGGTGTAGACCAATCAACTTCAAGGACAGTGCATACAGAGTTATGTTTTTTGCTTGCATTACGACTGCAGGTATTGTGATCTATGCAAACATGACTCCTTGTAAAATAGGTGTCAGTTTTGTTACCAGATAGAAGGGTAAAAAACCAATCATCATATTTTTTACTGGCAAATGAGGTTCCAATGGTGTAAATGCTTGCCCCGAGCTCTCATACTCTGATGGTGCATTGTCTTTGAGTTGTGCGCCTTTTGGCGCCATCTGGTTCAACACCATGTGAGACTAGGCTCTAAGGAAAGCTGTCTCGGACGTGGACCAATCAACTTCAAGGACATTGCATACAGAGTTATGTTTTTTGTTTGCATTACGACTGCAGGTATTGTGATCTATGCAAACATGACTCCTTGTAAAATAGGTGTCAGTTTTGTTGCCAGATAGAAGGGTAAAAAAAAAACCAATTATCAGGGGTGGCAACTGTGACGTGGCCCTCGGTCGTCGTTGTTATTTTTTTACTCCTCCCACCAGGTTCTGAACTTGGCGGCCGCGAGCGACGCGCACACGCGGACCGAGGGCGCCCTGCGGGTGGTCCGCGGGATGTCGCCCCACCTGGCGACGCTGATCGCAACGGCGACCGCCACAGCGACCGCTGAGCCCACCGGGCCCGCCGCCGCCGCCGCCGCCGGCCCGCGCACCTCCACCGCGACGCTCGTGGAGACCACCACCACGATAACCGTGACCACGACGACGGAGCAAGGAAGGAAGGCCGCCGCCGCAGAGGAGGAGGAGGAGGATGAGGAGGAAGAGGATGAGGAGGGAGAAGCAGAATTGGCACCGTCTGGACCCCACGTCCCAGTCAGACCGCCAGCTCAGCAGGACACGCTCATGGTGGTGAGTCGTTGGACGCTTGACCAGTAAGAAATATGATTTGAATTTCGATTTAAAGCTTTCGTGACTGCAGGGATTCATCTTCTTGGTTCTTTCGGTAAAGTCACGTAGAAGGGAAGTAATAAAATAATAAAAATAAAACATTATAAAATAATTCTCACGACATTTCGGCCACAACGCAAGCAGCCGTCCTCAGGTGAAGAAACAGAGCTGTCGGAAAGACAGCATCTTAATGAATACTGCCGACAGCTTTGTTTCTTCACCTGAGGACGGCTGCTTGCGTTGTGGCCGAAACGTCGTGAGAATTTCATTTGATTATGTTTTATTTTAATTATTTTATTACTTCCCTTCTACGTGACTTTACCGAAAGAACCAAGAAAATATGATTTGTCCATGGGATGCACTCATTCGTTAGATTGAAACATCTTAATACGTAGAGGACCGCAGAGCTTGGGGGGATTTGACGCCCGTTCCTCAGTGGTTTCTCTCCGTCGTTCTCTGTCCTTGAGAGCGGGCGAATGCCGCACGGCTGCACGCTACAAGTTGAAATTATTATTTCCAATAACTACACACACACACACAACATTGTTGAATTCGTTTTTTTCGCTTAAATTCACTAATTTCAGCTCTGAGAATAAAAACAACTTTACTTGTTTGACGGTCATGCAACACATTTCTCTCTACCGAGGGCATGTGAGAAAGTGTGGATGGAAACGGGTCACCTGGAGTGATTTCATCTCATTCTGTGGACCGTTCCATAACACCCACGGAGGTGATCCACTGCTTTGCCAAAGTTAACATTGCTAACTTCATCTCGTAATGACGACACCACCATTGCAATAACCGCAATAAGATACCGGCGCATGCTAATTGCTTAATAAATAAAATCAATGCGTTCATTGACCTTACAAAAGTGAGACGCATCTGACTGTACAATATATCAGTGCTCCGAGGCACATTATGTTTTGTTTTTTTGCACCGAGTTAGATTCTTTAATGTGTATGTTAGCGCAGATATTCTGCAAGCTTCACGCTTTCGTTTTGTATCCCCTGTTTAGTTTCTGCACTGAACATGGTTTACCTTGTATGTAGCCGTGCCCCCCTCTCCCTGCGTTTAGCCTTTGCATTCGGCTCGGCTGTCTTGATAAATATAAACATTGCAATAGAACTAGAACCCTTCCCCAACATAGTAAATTAATAAAAGCAAAAAAAGCTTCAAGTAATTTCCTGCTCGAGTGCACCGAGGCTGTGCTTCATCTCCCGTTCAGCAGCCTCGATGTGGAAATTCCACATTCCTATGGCAGGGATACAATCTCTCCACGACACTTACAAGGAGAGGACCATCATCATAGCACGCAAAGCAGACAGGTCAGCAACCTCGTTGCCGTCATCCCATACGGATGCCTTGTTGCTTTGCGGACGTTATTTAGTCACGCGTTTGTCATCATATAGTTGCCAGCAACAAACAGCACGATTGAAAGTGCACGTACTTACGCTGGACTTCTTTCGCGCCGTACATAGCCAACCGTGCCAATCGGAGGTGCGCAAGAAGGACAACATACCAAACACGAAAAACAGTGCTAAAGAAATACGTTTTTTAAAACTTAATTTGGAGCTTTCGTGACTGCAGGAATTACTCGTTGGTTCTTTCGGTAAAGTCACGTATGAAGATAAAATAATAAATTAAATACTACCATACGACGTTTCGATTGCAACGCAAGCAATCATCATCGGGTATAAATGAAATAGAAACACAAATCTAGTATACTTAGAAATGTAATGTAATTCAACAGATAGTCGGATAACATAACAGTCAACACCCTACCTGGTTGATTACGTTCTTCCTGAGAATGAAATTTAGCTTTCTCAGGAATACCGGAGGGAAGAGCGTTCCAGACGGCCGCAGGAGCGCACGTGCAATGCACGGGAGTGAACACGTTTGTTGAACTGAGCGAAGGTTAATTTTTCTTGTAAGAGCGCGTGCAAATCGAGATGATGGGAGGGAATTAATAATAATAATGATAGTTCAATTTGTAACGCGCGCAAATTTGCAGACGTAGTGGCCGCAACTCAGAGGCGCGGAGCCAAGCTCAGAGTCGCTCAAAAGCACGTGGGTTGTAGAGGTGAGTTTTTAAGTGTCTCTTGAAGGATGCGATTGAGGTGATGCTGCGAATGTGCAGAGGGATTATCGTTCCAGACTGTTGGGGCTGCCACTGAGAAGCGGCGCATAGACACGATGACCATCCTGGATCTTGGTATCAAAAGGAGGTCGTGAGTCGCGCTGCGCAGGCATCTGCCGTGTGCTGAGCTGCAAGTTGTCAATAATGAAGAAAGATACGGCGGGCAGGCGGATATGAAGGCTTTGTGGCAGAGGCACAATGCCTTATAGAGCAGTGCGAGTGAAGAATCAGACAGAGGGGAAGTTCGTCACACGCACAGTGGAGCCCCCTCACTCGTGTGTCAGCGAGGATTCCTACTTGTCCATATTGTGGCAAAGTTTGTACCGTGGGGTGCCACGGTAACGAGATGATAACTACCTCGTCAAGTCTACAGGAGGTCGTGGGTTTAATCCCGACCCTGACAATGATTTTATATCCATAATGAGATGTTTTTTGGGTTAGATTGTGTGAAAATAAATGTGACGTTAAACCCGCCACCAGCCAATTAGTAAGATTTGTCACGTAAACAAAATATGCCAATTCGTTACTATTTCAGCACACCGGTAAATTCATTTACAATGTTGTGAGTTAACTCTCCAACACACCGGTGTGCTGAACTAGTAGCAAATTGGAATGTTTTGTTTACATCACAAAGCTTACTAATTGGCTTTGTCGGGTGGTGGCGTGTTTAACGACGCATTTATATTTACACGATCTAACCCAAAACCTCTGTTGGGAATAATATTGGTCGCGAAAGCCTGCGTGTTAAACTCATGCCTGTATATTTGGAGTTTCAGCGGATCTCTCCTCGTGGTCGCGTGGATTTTTCTCTGGGTCCTCCGGTTTTTCCCTCCACATTTAGAATCAACATCACGCGTTTAGAGTATTTGGCTACCATCAATTTACACGTGACAATAAGCCGCTTCATTAAGCTATCGTTTGCGATGACCAGTTCGCTTCTGAAAAAGCGCTAGATATAGCTCAGGAGGCATTACCTGGTAACAAAAAAAAAATAGCTTAGCTAGCTTAGCTTTGCAATGAGTGTGAATCTATACCCATGATTTGCGTGTGATCCACTAAATCCATTTGTGAGGATAATATTACAAGAATTACCAGGGATTCAGATGATCAAACACTCGCCGCCTTTTTTGCCAATTTCTCCATGTAAAGGTGTGCCCTATCATTCGGTGCACGGCTGCGACTTCGAAATGGATTATTGCAATTTTGGTATTAAAGGGAAATCGTGGTGCCGCAATTTGGGGCTGTCTGATTTAGCTCTGTGGGGTTTCCGCATTACAAAAAAGGAGGAATTACTGAATCCGCTCTACGACATTGTATTTCATCCTGTGTGGACTTTGTGGCATGCTCGGCTCTCCCTTGTACACAGAATGCACGTGGAGCAAACCTAGAGCTTGTTAGCATCACGTATACACGAACTTGTTTCTCATCTATATATATAAAATCGTGCATGTCTGTCTGTCCGTCTGTGTGTGTGTGTGTGGATTTCGGACCATACGCACTTTCATTGGACGGCGGTTGCCCCTGGCAACGGCTAGCGACGCCTTCGCCGCTTTCATTGGACCTAGCAACGGCTAGCGACGCCTTCGCCAAGGGCTGCAGTTTCATTGGACAGCGGTTGCCCCTGCCAACGGCTAGCCACGCCTTCGCCACTTTCATAGGCTCCGTAAATAATTAAATAACAGCCATTACACAGTATTGTTGGAGCGCTGAGGGGGGGGGGAAGGCACACCACCCGTACCCTGCCTCTGCAGGGTGGACAATTTTGGCGAGGCCGCAGGCTCTGCACGCTACTAGGCCTCGACACCCACCACGCCACTCTGAGGTAAATTCATCAAAGTTTTTCCTACTCTTCACTCCAACCACACCACAATGTGTGCAATTAATATTACTTTTAAACCCAACGCGCCAACAATCGATTACTTAAATGTTCACTGTACAAATAGTCATTAAGCTGGGTCAGCGTACTGCCAGTCTATCATGTAGACTGTAGCCTGCTTATTAAGCTCGGTGAGCGTACTGCCACTCTATCATGTACACTCTAGCCTGCTTATGAAGCTGACTGCGTGTACTGGCAGTCTATAATGTGGACTGTAGCCTGGTTATTATAATCAATTCTTTATATGTTCTTTGTACAAATAGTCATTAAGCTGGTTTAGCGACCCCAGTTCGATTCCAACTCACGCCCACCACCGATGACGATTATTTGAAACGGACCTGGCCCTCCCCTAGGTCCACTCAGCCTCAAACGCGTAACTGCTGTCGTGTGTGAACATCGTCACTGGGGAGACAAAGGCGGCCGGCCATCGTGGATCCAAGTCCCGGGCGAAGCCGGGTCATGTGTATGTGTGTATGTGTTTATGTGTATGTCTGTGTGTCTGTATGTATGTGTGTATGTATGTGTATGTGTTTGTGTGTGTGTGTATGTATGTGGGTTTTTTTCTATGTCTTTATGTGTATGTCTGCGTGTCTGTATGTATGTGTGTATGTACGTGTGTGCATGTGCTTGGGTGTATGTATGTGTGTGTCTATGTATGTGTGTGTATGTGTTTCTGTGTATGTATGTGTGTGTATGTATGTGTGTTATGTGCCTGTGTGTCTGCATGTATGTGTGTGTGTATTGTGTATGTGTTTGTATGAGTTTGTGTCTTTACGCTCGCATTACACAAATGTTTTGCAGGTCTAAGGCGTTCCTTGCGCAGCATTGCCGCTTTATTATTTCAGTCGTTTACTGCCGTACGCACCCTCAAAGTCGTGAGTGTCTGCAGCAAGCGCGTGTATGTGTACCTATGGACGCGCGCGCGTGTGTTGTGTAGGGGGAACGGTA